TGACAAACTCCTTTAATTTTTGCTTGTCTGGGAAATTTTTGATCTCTCCTTCCATTTGGAATGATAACCTTGATGGGTAGAGTATTCTTGGCTGTAAGTTTTTTCCTTTTAGCATTTTAAATATATCGTGCCACTCTCTTCTAGCCTGTAAGGTTTCTGCTGAGAAGTCAGCTGATAGCCTTATGGGGTTTCCTTTGTATGTTACTTTGTCCTGTTTAGTTTAAATGTCTAGTCTTAGAAGCTCTGAGGAAAGGATGGTTCTTAGTCTTGCACAGAAATCTCAGAAGTGTGTCTGTTCTGTTTGCTAACCTGCCTTTCACACTTCAGTTTAGCTCATAGCCCCCCTGCTCACTTGCTCCAATGTTCATGTTGTCATGCATTCATCTAGTACAGGATTTACTGAGGTTCCCCCGTGCTGGGGCCTGCCACCTCAGCTGGAAGGTTGGCCAGGACGGGTGATGTGATGGAGGCAAGCCCTTGGCGGTGGGGGCTCTGAGGAGAGGGGATAGGCAATCAGGGAAGAGGAGGGGAAGCGCCCCTGAGTCCCAGCTTCCAAGGAGAGGGAAGGCATCTTGCTTCTCCAGGTGCCACCCTCCCCTCTAGCCCTTGCTCCTGCAGTCAGGAAGCCCCCCTTGTCTTCTCTCCCCTTCCCCGGTCTTGGGGTCCTGTCTTCTCCAAGGCATGTCACGTGTGAGGTGAGCACTGTGTGACCTCTCTTTCCAGGTCCCTTGAGTGCCGTCCGTGTGCTCACCTCCTGTCCCACTCAGACAGGGCCTCTTTTGTTTTGGGGCAAAGCTGTGGGGTGTAGAAAGGCAGTGGCAAGAGCCCTAGACTTGGGGCAACCGATGCTCTGGATTTGCATCTACCACTTACTTCTGTGGAATGGTGGGTCTTCATCGAGTCTCTTAGTCTCTGGAAGCCTCTGTCGAGTACGGAAAATGATACTCTCCGAGGGAGTCTGGGGCTAAATGGAGGTCGTGTGTAAAGTGCTGATTAGCCTGGCATTGGTACACGGCAACTGTAGCTATTGTTGTTATTTTCCCTCAGCAAGTTTGTTGGCCTTCCCCTTCTCTTCAGTTTACGCTTTCCTGGAAGGTCCACTTCTGAGTAAATGCATTCTCTGAGAGCAGTGTATTTCAAATGTTTTTGACCTTGAACTACAGTAGGAAACCCATCTTACACTGTGACTCGGTCCACATGTGTAAGACTCCCTGTGATGCACTTTCTCTCCTCTTGTCTTTCTATAAAACAATTGCTGATCCTGGATTCCCTCTTCCCCTCAATGGGTCTTGCACTTTGGAAGGTGGTGGGCTGTGTTGATTACCTGCAACAGGCCAGTTGTGGGAGGAGGTTGTGAGGATCTTGATGGCCCATGTGGTCCTGTGGTGACCTCTGGTGGCAACATGGCCATCCTGCAAGGCTGCCCACACGCCACTGGCTGCAGCATGGGTGGGTAGAGAGGGTAGGTGGCATTAGGGAGGTCAGCCTCTAGGACTGTTTCGGGGGTGAGCTATGGACATGCTGGGCCCCTCTCAGACCTGCTGCCTCCTGCGGGTCTCCTGGAAGATGGCACAACCCTGGAAGACCAGTTGCTCTCCTGGTCTCTGATGAAACCGTGGGTCGCAGCCCCAAGTCTGGCCAGCAATGGGACACCTGGGGTGGGGGAAGTTATTAAATCTGCTGTGGTTACACTGCAGCAGAGTGACTTGTCCAGTCCAGTGTGTTGGAGCCTCTTTCTGCATCCTCTCAGGCTCGAGGGCCCAGATGGGTGTGCCCTGAAACTCATTCTTGTCTGTGTTTCTAGTCAAAAGCCAGCAGAGCCCACTGGTCACCAAAGAGGTCCAGCCAAAGGCCAGGATCCTACATGTGGCGTTGCCATCCAAGCTGGCAGAGCCGTCCATGACAACTCTTCAGAACCGCAGCAGCCATGGCCCTGGCCCGGCTCAGGCACCCACCCCAACTCCACGCCCCAGAGCACATGGATCCTCTGACACCCCTGCTTCCCCAGAGCCTGGGCTGAGGTGAGCCCCAGACTCTGCACTCTCCCTGGGTCTGTGGTGTGGCTCCTGGCCCCAGGCAGCCCTGTTCTGGGCTCCCCACGCACTGCTGCAGACAGGTGAGGGGCAGAGACAGAAGTGGACAGGAGGGGTCTCAGGTGGGGTCCAACCTGACCTCCCAGGAACAGACTGGGGCCCTTTGCTCCCAGCCAGGACAAACCTCCCCTCCCCTCCCCAGCTCTTCCCAGGCCGCAGCCGCCACACTGGAAGAGCTGGGTCCTCATCTTCTAAGGGAGGAGCTGGTGTGGCTGCTGCGATCCAGGATGACTCCTGGCTGTCCAGGGAGGGAGCAGGGCTGGCTCTGGGCAAACCAAACACACTCGCAAGTGGTGAAGTGTGGCTCTTCAAGTCTCCTTTTGGTGGCCTGTGCATCCCTCATTTCTTCTCCTCCATGGCAGTACACCCCCGTTCAGTTCTGAAGAGGACTCGGAGAGGGACTCTGTGCAGCGTGCATCTCTCCAGCCCCCAAGTGTTCCTTCGAGGATGGGGCCCCGGCCGGAGGATGACTGGGACTGGTCCGACACTGAGACCTCGGAGGGGAACACCCAGCCCCCTGGCAAGGGCTCAGGTGGGCTGGCTACCTCAGGTGAGGAAGGTTTTCTTTAAAACAGTGAGGCCTGTGGCTTCTGGCTTCAGTTGCATTTTCTGGCGAGGATTAGTTAAAGAACATGGAACTTAGAGTTCTGTCTTTCTGAAGTTGGTAAGTGGAAGCACTGGGGTGGAAGCCCAGGTCTGTACTATCTGCAAAGTCCACAGTCTTGATGGATTCTGCTGTATTTCGTCTTGTCCACAGCATAGCCCAAGCCTGCCAGTCCATCAGAATCCACCAGAACCAGATCTTTGGAGAAGTACTGACAACCTGCCAGGCGGGGCGATAGGGTGGAAAGATCTTGGACCCGGGAGTCAGGAGTCCTCAGAGGCAGTTCAGGCTCTGTCACTTGTTCCCTGCTTGTGCTCGTGTGAGGGGTTTCGGTTCCTTTGTTGTAACATGAGGTACCTGGACAAGATGATTAATGACGGTGAGGAACACAGTGCCTGGTACATAGTCAGCCCTTAGCAAACATTACTTGAATCAATCAATGAGCCAAGGGCTGTTGTAGCTCCAGATGTCTGCTCAGGCCCTGAGACGTTCGAACCCAGAAGGCCACGGTTAGCTCCCGGCTTCTTGGTGGTTCCCGAGGTCCGGACATACGCCTTGCCTTACCACGTCACCAGGAGTCCATCGATAATGTAGGTCACTGCTTCGCTCCCTTCCTGCACAGCTTGCAGAAAGACTGGCCGCAGCCCTCCTGTGCTAATTTATATTTGTGATATTTCTTCTTGTGTCTGTGAAGATGTTGAAGGAGGATGTTCCGCATATTAGTCTTGTAGGTCGTGTACCAACTGAGCAGAGGTTCTGCCTCAGCCTCCTGTTAAGAAGGAAGAACTGCTTCTTAAGCCTCCGTCCCAGCCCTGTCGTTAAGTCTGTACTGTTCCATTTCGGGATCCTCAAAGCCTTTTGTCACCGGCACACGCTGGCCTGGGCCTTCTCTCTCTCCTTGCCCCTCTCCTTGCGGTTGTTCTTCCTGCTGCCTCCTGACCCTTGTCCACACTCCCTCTGTCCACACCAGAGCCTGGACATGACCCACAAGGATGAGGCATTCGTTTTCTGGGCTTTTCTCTCTGACACAACCTCTCGTTGTCTTCCAGAGACACTGGTGCAGTCGATGGTCAAAAATCTTGAGAAGCAGCTGGAGGCTCCGGCGAAGAAGCCTGCTGGAGGGGTCAAGCTGTTCTTAGTGCCCAACGCCGGGCCGCAGAGGGCTGCTGCACCAGGACGGCAGCCTCAGGTAGGGTGTAGGACGCCTGGAGATTGCCCGGCAATTGCCTCAGCTCCGAGTTTTGGAGGCCTGGGGTGGGGGCTGGGGGAGGGTCCAGCAAGTGTCAGCCTTGGCCCTAGCAGGACATTGCAGGTGACCTCACTGTCTCCTCTGCCCCTGCGCGGGTGGAAAGAGGGCCACTCTCCAATGCTTGTTGTTTGTGTCCATGTTAATGTTAAAAAGCCTTTTGGTTCATTACATAAGCAACTACTCGGTGGGTTGTTTCTCATGGCCGCTCACGCTCCATTTCCTACCTCTGACAGATCCTGGCCGTGGCTCTGGGTCTGCCTTCCTGCAGCAGCTGCTCTCTTCCAGCTCTGGCTCATCCCACAGTGGACCCCTCCCCATTCCTTCACTCCTCCGAGGACCACAACACAAGGCTGTGCGCAGGGCAGGCTTCTTCCCAAGGGTGGGCATTGGAGTGTCATCACACAGTGCATCAGAGCAGGCGACAACATACACAGGGAATGTTCAGATACCTTTGTGCTCATCACTGAGTGTCTCGATGGCCTTGCTCTCTCAGGCTCTAGTTGCCATCAGATTTAGAGCTCAGATGCTCAGTCTCTCTGACCATTACCATTACCATGACCAGAACCGCACTGCCCCCTGTCAGGGAACAACTCCCACATGGCTGTTTCATAGGCAGAAACATTTGATGTTCTTGTTACTTCATAATCCATTCTCACCTTTCTCATTCCAAAAGGTGCACCCTGGGATGACCGATGCTGTTGCTAAAATCCAGTAGTAGCGGGCAATCACTTCTTGGTTCTCGATAGCATACTCCCCCTCTCCTTCACTATGTAATGTGTTTGGTCTATCACACGGCTCATGTCTGTTTGTGAGTAATGAGTCCAAGTGATTAAGACAAATATTTGTTCCTTTTCCCATATTGCGAAAGAGCACCAAGCAAGCAGGGCTCAGAGCACGCTGCTGCCCTGGGCCCTGGGTGGTTTCCGATTGGGTGGCCTTACATTCCAGGAGAAAATGCATAGGATGCTTATATCAAAGCCCAGGTGGCCGGGCCTCATGCCAACAGGGGCACTGAGGTCTCTGGAGGAGTGACTGTGGTCTGGGGGTAGCCTAGGCCCTTGGCTGACTCTGGGCTCTCCTATTGGCTGCAGCCCAGGCCCTTTCCAGGCTGCAGGATTCCTGGCACTTAGGAACTCCCCTTGTGCTCCTTCGGTCAGTCGGAGTGTTTACCTACACGGCCTGGGAGAAGCAGTCTGGGAGGAGGTGGAATGGCTACTCTAGCCCCTGGTGCATTCAGCTCAGGAATTCAGAAAAGTCAAAGCTCTGGGCTTCCAGCTCTGAAAATGTGGGGAGTTAAAAAATCTGGACAAAGTTTAGATTACAAGAGCAACCTGATCTGCACAGGCCTTTCTGAGGAGCTGCCTCAGTTCCGCTAGAGGAATTTCAGGAGGCCTTGAATTCACTCTGACCCTGGGTCTCCGATGCAGGGGAGACAGGGAGACTTGACACAGCAGGAGTGGTGGTGTCTCCCTACTGCCTTCTTCTGGATTTGCATTTTGTCCCCAGATCTGCATTTCCATCCTCCCTGATTGGAATGCATTTTCTTCTCCGCCTTACCTCCTGCAGCCTTCTGATGATGAAAGCGACTTGGAGGTCTCTTCTTTGGAAGATCTCCCCCAGGATCTGGACCAGAGAGAGAAACCTAAGCCCTTGTCTCGCTCGAAGCTCCTGCAGAAGTCTGGCGCCAGCTCTTGGAGGCCCAGCCCACCCAGGGTCCCTGACTGGTGATCTTGCTCAGGAGTCTGGCGGCCAGAGGACCAGCCGTGTTGCCTGGCTGGGTCCCGCCCCACAGAAGAGGCTGCTGGGCCTCTTGTCTTCACCACTAATTGGGAGGTCTTCTCCCTTGGAGAGAAGCAGAGCAGAAGACGGATATAATTTCTGCCCTCCTGCCTGTGAGGGGCCCTGCCCCAGAGCCCCAGGGGGCCTGGCTGGGTGCCCCTGGGTCCTCCCACGGCTTGAGAAAGGATTATAACAGGACCTCCAGCAATTTCCCTCCTCCACCTCCATGTTGACACAGACTGAAAGGAGCCACTTGGTCTCTATTCCTGAGTGTTTGTAAACCTGTAGGAGCACTGTAGAGATGAGTCCTATATGGGGTCCTCTTGGAGACAAGTGCCTCTGTCAGTCATTCAATGACTGATCCAAAGTCATTTACTAAGTGCCTGCTCTGTGCTAGGTCCTCCAGCATCTCACTGCAGAATTGATGCAGGCAGAGGTGGGCAGGGCAGAAAGTATGGGGTAGTAATCTAGTGACAGATTAGGGTGTTAGGGGAGCATGGAAGGGGCCACCCAGTGCAGTCTGGGGATGATCTTGGAGAGCTTCCCAGAGTTGTGGTGTCTGGCATGGCCTGCTCAGGGGTGGGAGGGAAGGAGGGTCACTTGGCTGGGGCCGCATATCCCCAAAGGACCACAAATTTGATTTTTGATATTATTACCAAAATGAGGTTATATGTATAGCCACTGTATTTTTTTAATGTGAAAAGCATTAATTTATTATATGTGGACATTTAAATATAGCACAATGTTTATAACTCTGGTATTTCTTCATTATTTTTGGAGCTTCAGTGGGGGCAGGCGGTGGGGTGAAGCAACCTGCACACCAATTATGTCCCTGTAGGTCTTTCAGATGCAGTTGCCAAGATGGACTTAGGAGTGAGTGTGCGAGTTTGTTGAGGAGCCACACCTGTGAAAGGTGAAGGTGGGGGAAGCAGGACTGGGTGGGGAAAGGCCTCAGAGTGCAACGCAGGTCTGACCACTGTGGGAGGAGAGAGAGGAGGAAGAAGGAACAGGCAGGAGGAGCCCCAGACCACCAGGCAGGGCTGATGTTGCCAGCCCAGTGGGAGCTCCAGGGCGGGAACTGCCCACTGGGGAGTCCCCACTAGGCAGAAAAGGCCAGGCCCTAGTGCCCCCACCCTGCTCGGCCATTGACTGGGGTGGCCCAGGAAGAGTGAGACCTGAGTTGAAAGCTCAGATGAGCCCTGTCAGCCAACTTCATTCACTGTAGTTGAACCGCAACTTTTTTCCCGAAGGGAGTCCCAGCTGTGCATCTCCACACCTCACAAGTAGAGGGAATAGTATGCTAAGTCCAAGTCCCCAACGCCCAGCTTTAACCGTCATCAACTCAACTCATGGCCAGTCTGGCTTCATCCATCTCTTCCCCCACTTCCGGTCTCTCCTCCTCCCCAGCCCTCCGTCCAGGCTTCTTTTGACCTCTGGGTGGTCCTGACACCTGGGCTGGTCCCTGACGTCCTAGTAGGAGGAAATGGGAAGTGAGGGAGGGAAGGCATTGCCCAGAACAAAGGGGACCTGTGGGTGGGGAGGCTTGGGGGCATCGTGGGGCTGTTCAGTGATGCCGGAGCACAGCTTATGAAGGGCCTTATGGGGGACTCGGGGCCAGCACAGCCCTGGCTGGTTGAGGGGGCAAATTCCTTTGTGTATCTCACACCTTTGAACAGCTGAGAATGTGTGGGATGGACGATCCCAGTGCTGTATGAGGGGGGACGGTGAGTGAGGAGTGGGGGGCTCATCTTTCTCTCAGAATTCTGCCAAAAAAGTCATGTTTTCTTATTCACTGGGTTTGGGAAGAGAGGGTAAAAGATGCTTTGGTGCCCTTTGCCGCATCCTGGTTTCCCTTCCTACGCCAGCCGCCGCATCACGCATGCGCCCTTAGGTCTCTGCTTTTGGCCCCAGAGAGGCAGCGCGGTGGGCTTGCAGGTGATGCCGGAGGTGTAGGAGAGCTGCCGCTACCAGGGCAGCCGGCAGCCAAGGCGGGATGGAGTCGGTGAGGAATTGCGCCCGCCTGCCCTGCTTCGGTGGGACAGTTCTGAGGTTTATACCGCAGTTTCTCAGGGAGTCCCCGGGGGAGTGAGCCCCAGGTGCCGGTAGCAGTTGCTACTTAGTGATGCACCTTTTCAGGCCTTCCTCCCTCCTGCTTCGTTTCTCTCACCCTCTCACTTCTACTTCTTGAGAGCACCTCTGAAATAAAGTACCTGTCCCGCGGACCCGTGTCACGTGCACACACACGCTGCAGAAAATTGCCAATGAGAATGACTCTTGTTCTTGAGTGTTCGTTATTAAGTTATATGTTTCTAAACTTATTTTTCTATCTACTGTGGAGACTAACATATGAGTTTTGCATTTCTATGTTGTTTACCCCTCCCCACTTTCACACACATTTTAAAATTCTTTGGCAAGATTTATAAGAACTTTGGAACACGTGTATTGGTCAGGGTTCTCCAGAGAAACAGAAGCAATAGGATACATATGGATATAATAAGAGGGGATTTATTATAGGAATTGGCTCACTTGGTTACGGAGGAGAAGTGCCATGATCTGCACTTGTCAGGCTGGAGAGAACTAGGAAAGCCCCTGTGTCAGTCCTGGAGACTGAAGGCCAGAGAACCAAGAACTCTGATTCAAACGCTAATCTCTTTTGGAAATACTCTGGCAGACACACCCAGAAATACTGTTTACCCAGCTCTCCGGGCATTCCTTAGCCCAGTCAAGTTGATGCGTAAAATTAATCATCACAGTATGTAACATATTACATTATTTAAAAATGATGCAAACAGTAAGATTGATCTAGAAAAATTAGAAAATACAGATAATCAAAAAGGAAAATAAATTTGAATAACCCCTAAATCCAGAGTCTACTGCCATTAACATCTAGGTACACATGTACTGATTAAAAAAATACATACGTCTCCTTCCTAGGATTCAACTATATTTATTCTTCTCTAGCTTGATTTTCCTTCTTGAAAAAAGATTATAAATGTCCTTACATCAATACCTGTGTGTCAACATAATGGCCACATAGTATTACAAAGTAAAGATTACAAAAATTTATTTAACTAGACACTTCCACTTTGGGCCTTTTATAAACCATGACATGATAAACAAATGTGCATATACATCTTTGTGCATTTAATTAAGATTTCCTTAGGATAAATACTCAGACGTGAGATTGCTGGACCAACATAATAATGGGAGCCAGCACCTGTGGCCCAAGTTCCCTAGGAATATTCTCTGATTTCAGCTCACAGCAGCCCTTTGAGGGGCTGCCACTATTATAGTCATTTTATGGACTTGGAACCGAGACACTGAGCAGTTAAGAAACTTGCCTTGAGTCCTGTCGCCAGTAAGTGGGACCACTGGGATCTGACCTGGGCGTGCCGGCCCTGGAGCCTTGGCTCATGATCACCTCCTTTTGGGGATTTTTGTTACATGTTGCCAAATACTCTCCAGAAAACCTGAGTGAATTTAGGCTAACGTTTGCGATTCTCATTTTCACATTCTCTTGCCGCCAGGGGGTATTGTTCATCTTTAAATGTTTGGACAATGTGACAAGTGAGAAATGAAACTTCACCTTTTAAAAAATTTACAATTTTTGGGTTTTCTTCTAATGTAGGATTCTTTTTCATTTTCATATTGATTATTTCTATTTCTTCTTTTACAAATTGCCTGATCATATTCTTAGTCCTTTTTTTCTCTAGTTGAAGTAATTAACTTTTCCTTGTTGCTGTTTTATCTTTTTATTATGGAAAATTTCAAGCATATATAAAACTAGAGAGAATGTGTGATGGCCTTAATGTCCTCATCACTCAGCTTTAACAATTGTTAACACGTGGCGACTCTTGTTTCTTCTAAACCTCTCTCCAACCTCTTCCTGAATAATCATATCATTATGTCTACAAATATTTCCACATTTGTCTCTAAAAGATACTTCCTTTTCAAAAGAACCATTATACCACCACCATCACACTAAAACAAAAATCAATAAGATCTTCGAAATATCACCCACCATCTATTCATTGTTCATGTTTCCTCTATCTCCCCATACATGTTTAAGTCTCTTTTAGTCTATAGATTCCTCTCCCACTTTCCCCTCCCTTCCTTTCCTCCCTCCCTCCTTTTCTCCCTCACAATCTTTATTATTTTTGTTGTTGCTGAAGAAATTGGGTTGTTTGCCTTGTAGAATTCCCCTGGTTGTAGACTTGGCTGATTGCGTTGCTGTGGTGGTGTGTAATGTATTCCTTTTTCCCCTGAACTAACTATACATTTGTAGTTGGATCTAAATAGTTGATCAGGTTCAGCTTTTTTGATTTTTGATTCTTTTTGGATAAGACAATTCTTAGGTGGTGTTGTGCACTTCCATCAGGAGGCACATAACGTCTGGTTCCCTCTTTTCATGGTGTTGGTGGTGACATTGATGATATATTGAGGATCATTGTCTAGATCCATCTATTGATTAGGGATTTCTAAAATTGTGGTATTCTAAATCTATCATTTCTTTGGCATTTACTAGCTGGAAAAATTCCGTAGGGAGAAATTCCCCATATCAAACTGTCTGGTTGCCTTGAGGTACCGTTTATATAGGCAGGGAATCTAATGGTTTGCTTCTTCTTTCAAAATAATGAGTTGGTTTCCTAGTATCCTCAATAGGTACTATATGAACTCGTATATTTAAATGTATTTGATTTGTTGAAATTGATTGTAGCTGTTATCCTAATTGATGCTGAGATTGTCCTGTCTTTGGCCAATGGGTACCTCTTCAAGTGGGTTCCTGGGTCCTTTTCAATGACCTCAGTAGTCTGGTAGCTTCCTTGCTTCTGGTATGAAAGATGATCCAGGCTAGTAGTGTATATTTCCTGCCTCAGACCTGAAATTAGTATCTCCAGGGACTCCTGGTTTCTTTTAGAGGAAAATGGTATTTATAGACACAATCTGGGTGCTGGGGCTGCGTGTTGCTACTGTCTTGTCATTATTTCTAAGCCCTT